GAGGGTTTTCAGGGCCAGGCAAGCCGCCTTCTGCAGCTGGAGGTTTGTCTTTGTTAGTGCTTCACAGTAATAGAGCAAGGCCTGAAAGAGAAGGAAGGACACTATGAAGGCATTTTGATTTGTTCGTAGTTTGAGAGGCATATTATCATTTTTATACCCTGAGATAAACTATAGCATGTAACCAGGCATTTTATATTACTTTCAGAGCAAAATAAAATTTTATTAAAATTCATGTTGATGAAAAGAGCTGTTTATTCAATAAATTGATTCCTTACATTCTACTAGGTCATAGACTCTGGGGAATATGAAATTAGAAGATATGAAGTTATGATTCTGGCTTTCAAGGGGCCCTTAGATCTGGTAGAAATGCTAAGACTATTTAGAAAGAACTGTAGAGAAGAAATGTATTAGGTACCATGAGAAAGCTACAAGATGCTAAGTGGGTCAGATAGAGAAGAGAGATATTACGGAATGCCAGGGGAGTTTCACAAAAATGATGTCTGCACTGGACTGGAAATGATGGGTTAGATTTTAGTTGGGAAGTTGGATGAGAAAAAGGCATCCAGGCAGAAATAAGGCAGACAGGAGGAGGTGGAAGTCCAGGTGAGAAGGCGTGATTTCGGTTTGAGATGAGCCAAGTTTGATACATGGCAAATAGATGCTCTGAATAAAACTCTGTCTATAAAAGTAAATTTTCTTATTTTTGCCAAATTATTTTCTTCCTAAATATTTAATTTATAAAACCTGTAGTACTTAATATTAACTCAAATGAGTAAGAATCACTGTAAGTCATGTTAGTTCATAGGAAATATAACAGTAATTACTTTTGAAGAGAATTAGGGGTGGAAAGAGGACTGATTTTTCATTTTATTGGGCTATACTGTGTTTTTATTTTTGCTATTTTTCTGAATTACTTTTATTTTTAGAAGCAGAACTCAAGTCTGATCACCATACTCTAATATCTATCTGTTGAATCAATAAATGGTATTACTCTGTCATTTATACGATGATATTTCTTGGATTTATCCCTTTTTCATGGCCAGACATCTTGTCAAGGTCCTTCCTGCCTGGGCCATCACCACTGCATTTCTGTTCCCGGCACCTAATGACGAGGGACGCCCTTCCTCCAGCGTGCGTCACCTCAGTCCACACGCGCTCTCCTAGAATAGCAGAGTGCCTCCCTTTTCTTTGCCTAGCATCAAACTGAAACTCCTCACTTTGGGCTTTTCAAGATCCTAAACCAGTTGGCTCCCCGCTGCCTCCCTAGCTGCCCTCTTTTCCTGCCGTACTCACTGTTGTACTCAGTGGCTGTGCTTTCTGCAGACAACTCCATGTACTCTACTCTTCTCTTTGACAGAACTCATTTCTGATTAGCTTCGAAGTTTGTCCAAGAGCCGGTCCCTACGTCACTAACCAATTGTGACCAGCTCTCTGGTTTTCTTCTCTACAATTTTCCATGAGTTATATTTTCCTCGTTATTGATTGATTGAGATGGGGTCTCGCTATGTTGCCCACACTGGTCTTGAACTCCTGAGCTCAAGTCATCCTCTCACCTCAGCCTCCCGAGTAGTTGGGACTACAAGCACACACCACTATATCTGGATCTTTTTTTTAAATTAACTGTCATTATTTCTATGTATCTGGATTGCATTATGTATCTGAATTTATAAGTATATATATTTCTAACATGGATCTCAACTTCCTAACATGTGATTTTAGGCATATTACTTGACTTCCTATGCCTTAGTCTGCTAATCTGCAAAATGGGTGTAATAAGATGACCCATTTGTAGGGCTTTATGACTCTTTAATGTGGGGACACGTACAAAGGACTGAAAACAAGGCCTGGCACAAAGTAAGCCCTCAATAAATATAGCTATAATATTATCTATTCCTAGTATGTTTTCTAGTATGATCCCAAATTACTTGTAAAATATGCCTGTGTGCACATACATATGCACGCATACACACGTTTACCATGATATTTTTCAGAGTTGGAAACTACACAAATGCTCGCCGATATAAGAAAAAAAATGCTAGAATGTCCATATGCTGAAATACTATTAATCCATAAATGTAATCAAGTAGGTCAATGTGTTCTGACACGGAAAGCAAATAACCATGATATATCACATTTAAAAAATCAGTTATGAAACAGAACAGTGTGATCTCATTTTTAAAAATTATATATGTTAGCATATATTAATATATAGAAAAAAATCTCAAGTAGGCACTAAATTATTAACAGTTTTTTCTGGGAGCTTGACTTGTGGGGCACTTGTCTATTTATATTTCTTTAGTATGTATGTATGTAGGTATGTATTTATATATATATATATATAGACACACACACACACACACACATATATATATATACCTGCTCTATCACCCAGGCTGGAGTGCAGTGGCATGATTATAGCTTACCACTGTTAACTTCGTATTCCTGGGCTCAAGTGATCCTCCCACCTCAGACTCCTGAATATCTGGGACTATAGGTGCATGCCACCACACCTGGCTAATTTTTTTATTTTTTGTAGAGACAAAGTCTTGCTCTCTTGCCCAGGCTGGTTTCTTTAGTTTTAATTATTTTACAGAGTATATATCATTAATAAGCAGAAGAAAATCACTTTATAAAAGAATGGAAGCTAAAATAATAGTAGTAAATGATAGAAAATTGAACAAACTTCTCACTTGATAGCCATGTTTTAGTGTCCTACCTTTTCCCTGAAATGCTCATTTTTGGAGGCTGCTGCCAAGAAAAGTGTCACAGCCTCACTAACTTCATTGTCGTCTCTGGTTAAGAGCAGAGCCAGAGTCCTGAGGACTTCCTGCTGGGCCGGGAGGTTGCCAGGAGCAAGTTCATTCATGGCCTGTAGCAGTTTTTCATCTCTTAGTGATTGCAGAGTCTGAACCATAGAAACTAGAAGGTAAGAAGGAAATAGAATTCACGTTCAAACATACTAAAGTAACATGCTCATTAGAAATATAAATAGGACTCAAGTATATATGAAAGTATATACATAACAATAGGCCAAAGTATATATGAAAAATTAGTATATGACAAAGGTGGTATTTCAAATTAGTGAGAAAAGGTCAGATTATTCAAATAACTGTATTGAAGTGAGGGGCAAACCATGTGGGGAAAAAGTGAAGGCAGGTCTCCATCTCATAATGGCTGCAAAAATAACTTATATATGAATTAGTCGAATGTAAAAATATACAGTGAAGAAAATATGAGTAAACATTTTTTCACAATCTTCCATATATATAGACAGCAAAGATTCAGTTCCTCTTTTAGTCATACCTGTTGTCAAAACTCTAATCCTGGGTGAACCCAAGCCTGCACTGAGGCACCTGAGCCCTGATGGAGAAACCCACTTAGTTGGTTGGGATATGGAGACAATGTGATCAAAGTTAAGGTTTTAAGTCCCATTTGGACAAACTGACCATGTCATGAATAAGGAATATACTCTAATCTCTAACTAGATATCCAGCATGGGCATCTATTAGTCACAAAAACACTAGGGTGAGAGTGTGCTTGGTCAGTACAGATGGGAAACTAAAAGCTAAAATTCATGTTCCACCAGTAGAGTAACATCCTTTACACAGTGGATAAATGTGTGAATTATCTAGATTTTTTTTTTTTGCTTTAATTTCCTATTTTCCCGGCTGTGGATAGTCTGTCAACCTCACTGCTTTGTAAAATCCTAGTCCAAAAAAATGACCTAGTAAAAACCTTGAGGTAGTATTATGCATTATAACATCTAAATAAAAAGAATCACAGACAAAAATCTATGTTGTTTAACAATACAATCAACTATATGAGTATACAGGATATTAATTTAATAACTAATAAAAT